AGGGGTATATATACATTACACACAGCTTATGTTAATTAATATAAACTAGATACAGCATTCAACCAATAAGAAATCTCCACACTTAATGGCTCACTGGCGCCACCTCACAAACCACTCCCCCTGGCAAAATGCCAGGCACCATCCTGACTTGTTTACAGACTCCAACAGTAAGGGAGCCAGGTTACCACCATTTTGAGCTTACCCAGCACTCTCTGCCTCTCCCTCTCTCTTCTTTTTCTCTTTCCACCAGAGACCTAAAAACATGAGCAGTCTACCTGCCTGAAGCCCTTTCTTCACTTGATTGCCATGATACACATTCACCTGGTGTTCTTCCCACTCACCTTTCCATGTTTTCTTCTTACTTATTTTCTCATCTCTCCTTATTCTGATTGTGCATATTACATTGGATCTTTGGACCCAAACCCTTGTCTTCCTATGCTTACTCCCACATGTCCTCATTCTGGATCATGTCTTAAAGCCACTATACAGGCTTATAAATTCCCAATTTTAATCTCTAGTTCATACTGCTCCACAAAACTCCAAACCTGTATGTACAACTATGTAGCTGACTAAACAAATCCAACTGCTCCAAAAGGAATTATTTATAATAACCAATTTTGTTTACTTTTAACTCTTTACTCACAAGATACTAGAGCTAAACCTTAATTTTATCCTTAATTTCTTTCTTTAGCACTAAAGAGTATTTTTTTTTGAAAATAGCAAAACATCTTCAAAATATTTCTGGAATTTAACCCCACCTCATCTTTCTCACTGCCACTTTTCTGGTTATAACCACTCTTATTTTTTGATATTAAAAAATGTTTAGTAGACAAAGAGGTTGATATTGAAGCCATATCATGAGAAACTAGCATTAGCCATCAAAAAAGGTATGATAATTATTTTATTATTTTAATATATATATATATTTATATTTAGTTATTAATGGACATTTATTTAATTTATTTATTATTTTATATGTGGTGCTTAGACTCAAACCTAGTGCCTCACACATGCTAGCCAAGTGCTCTACCACTGAGCCACGTGCCCAGCCCTAATTATTTTATTCTTAACATGAGTTAATATATATATATATATAAATTAGCATTTTAGGTGGTACTTGAAAACATATCACCACAGATTTTTCTTCTTAGATTTTTATCTTTTTCAACCTCCAAAGAAGATAAGTCTATAGACTCAGTGGAGGTGAAAAAAGGGTGACATGAAGGAATTAGAAGAGACCAATGAGCAATGTGTTGGATGGCAAAGGAGAAGAGGAGAAAAAAACATGACTATCAGGAATGTGAAACACATGTGAGAAAATACCTTTAAGAGTATTTTAAGAGGTTTTATGAAATATCCCAGTAGATCATTAGTTACACTCCCATTGTTTTTTTTCGAAAATTTAATCAGCTCTTAGTGTTAGTACTAACTACATCTGTCTCTGAGAATTTCTGTACTATATAAAAACCTCAGGGCAAAACTGGTTCACATGTAACTTATTCTTCAATTACATCTAAATAAAACACTAGTGTCTTAGACCATTTGTGGTCCCATAACAAAATATCTGAGACTGGATAATTTATAATGCGCACAAATTTATTTTCTCATATTTATGAAGGTGAGGAATTCTAAGACCAAGGTGCCAGCAGGTTCAGTTGCACAGTGAAGCCTGCTTTCTTCTTCCAAGAGGCACCTTGTGACTGCATCTTTCAGAGGGGGGGAATGTTGGGTCCTCACATGGCAGAAGGTGGAAGGTGAGAGATCTAAATGCTGAATAAAGCCTCTTTCATGAGGACCTCAATCCCATTCACTGGAGAGGAGCCCTCATGACCTACTCACTTCTTAAAGTCCTGACTCTTACGACTACATTGACCATTAAATTTTGATAACTAAATTTGGGAGAGTACACATTCAAGCTGTAGCAACTATTTTTTTATCTTTTTCAAAATTTAAATAGTTATTTTCATCTACTTTAATATTCTATTAGCTGTGAGTATCTAAAATGTTATAATTTCATTCCACACATTCTTTGGATATCAAGACTTTCCATAGATATGAAATGATGGGTATTGTGGGAACAACATAATTTTTTATTACTCTTTGATGAATCAATGAATTGGAACATCTAATAATTACTCTTTCACACCTATTATGTTATATTTTTAGAAATATAAAATATATTTCACTTATTACTTTATATTTTTAGATTTAGAAAAATTTAGATGGGTCCAATTCTAGACCCATCTAATTTCCACTTCTGTTAACTCAGTCTTCTATTTATTACTTTTATTATTCAACAGAGAAAATGGATTAAAATTAAAAATATTCAATAATCATTTGTGAGTATCATGACCCTCCATTCTCCTTTTTATTGTTTATTGTACTTTTTTGACACCATCACCCTCCTCCATAATGTAACCTAGTTCCACTGGCAAATTATCTTTTTGTCCTTGTCCCTATTGGTTATAAATGGATATAATATTGGACATGTAGTAATCCAGTATTACGTGTCAGGAATTCTTTCATTTTCCAACCAGTGGATCAATTAATAAGATGATATAAATATGGAATGGAAATGAAGCAAGCAAAAAGGAAAATTTATCTTTCTGGATGTTATGAATATTTCAAATCTTACGGACTAAAGATGGCTCATTTTGTTCCTTTCCAAGTGAAGAAATAAGTTAAGTTCTAAAAAAAAATGAAAGATGAGGAAAAAACAACATAATAGTTGATTGTTTATTAAGTCACACCATGGCTAATCACTTGGGGGAAAATTACATATCCTTATACCTTATACCAAATTATGATTCAGATAGGACACATATGTAAACATAAACAAAGTAAATAATAAAATTATTGGAAGAAAATATAAGTAACATATATGTCCAGATCAGGGTCATAAGAAAACTTCAACTAATGCTGCTAAATTTAGAAATCATGAATCAAATCAAGAATATATTTTATGATGTAGTAGAAAATTTTTCTAA